TATGCCGACATACCCGATCGGGTATGCCCAGAAAAGTGACTTTCTGGACAATTTCCTAAGATACCCGATCGGGTATCCTATATACCCGATCGGGTATCAGACCCTGCAGCTCCCAAAAGCCTATAAATACACCCCTTTCGTTCACAATAAAATCACCAATTCACATATACTCTTTAGCTCAGTTTAGATTAGTAATTTCTTTATATTTTCTATCATGTTTAGTCTCCAAATGAGGAGCTAAACTCTTCCACCTTGGTTTTGCTACTTTGAAGCTTAATGAATTTGTAAGTTGTGAGTTATCTTCTTAATCTTCTTCCTTGAATATTAATTCTTCCTTTAAATATCATTTCTATATCAATGTTGGGGAGTGTTACTAAGATGACAATTAGTTAACATCTTGACATTAGTTATAGTAATAGCTATTTCTTCCTCTATGTTAATATTGGGGAGTGTTACTAAGATGACAATTAGTTAACATCTTGATATTAACTATAGTAGGATTCATCTTCTTTAATATTCTTCCTTGAGTATTAATTAATTCCTATTCATATTTCATATTAATATTTTGAACATTACTTAAAGGATCAACTAGTTTTGTTTCGTATATTAATTATTACTAGAATCGGTCGATTAATACGCTTGTTATTAATTCGGTCCTTTCACGGTAGTAAACTTGGGTTATTAATGCATGCGTTTCATGGTTAATAAACCAAGGGGAATTAATTATATTGATTAAACCAATAAACCGCTTGTGTTGAGGTTATCAATCTCAATTGTTTTCATCTTGATTTTATTGCTACTATCGAGTGAATATACGGCACGTGTTCTATATTAACTCGGTAGTAAGTTTTATTAATGAACGCGTCTCGTTATTAATAACTACCCTCGATGAATTGGATATACTCCTCGATTGAGTATTCGAGAGGAAGATAGTTAAAGATATAACCGGGATCGACGAACATTTCATTAAGTGGATAAAAGCAAAACCAAGTCTCCTTCTCATTAATTAAACCACATAACTCGTTCATCTTCGTGTTTAATTTTAATTAAATCATTCAATCCGAAAACCCCCCTTTTATTTACTAGTTTTATAAAAAGAGAATTATTCCTTTCCCTGTGGATACGAACCTTACTTCATTATACTACGTATAATTGTTGTATTGAATATTATTTTGAGTGCACACTACGACAAAGTGCACGTCACCGGGACTGGCCGGTTGGACCAGTGGCGGATCTAGGAATCGGAAGTATTGGGGGGAGAGAAAAAATAGCGTGCATGAAGAAAAACCCTAATTTGCGGTGTTTACACGAGAATAGCAAAATATATCCGAATAGTAAAAATTTGTAATAAGGTTTAAGAGAATTTCCAAAAAATAGTACGGAGTATTATTACAATAGCAAAAAACGTAAAAAAATGAATCACAATTGCTCTTTTCTTGTTTTCATCTTTTGAAAGAGATCTTATTGCACATCCAAATTGATTTCTTGGGGAATTGAAATACTACTTCCATCCCGTTTTCGTTAGTCATCTTTGACTTTTCCAATAAAATATGATAAATTTGATCAATTATTTTAACTAATATATTTATGCGAATTTTAATTATTTTATACTTTTATGATAATATTTTTGACACATAACATTTTCATATCATTTTCATATTATCAATACTTCTGTTATAAATATATAGTTGGTCAAAGTTAGACTCATTGACTTCAAAAGTCAAGTTTGACTAACTAGAATGGAACGGAGAGAGTAGCACATTGAGAAATACTACTACACACATTTGAACTTGAACTTTCCAAGGTTAAGGAAGGTGTTTTGTTCAAAAATCTATTTATGAAATCTAGTAAAAAATGTAATTAATTCTTTAATAACTAACGTACTCTTTTGCGTCTTTATATACTCCCTCCGTCCCGCTATTAACTTCCTACTTTGACCTACACACATATTTAGGAAATAAATTTGACTTTACTGTTTCGACACTGTTTGACACTGTTTAGACACTGTTTGGCACTTTTTAGACACTGTTTGGCACTGTTTGACACCGTTTGACACTGTTTTGATGTAGGATAACAATCCATTTACGGAAATGAGAAGATGATTTTGGGACGGTCCAAAAAGGAAAACAGGAAGTTAATAGTGGGACGGAGGGAGTATATTACTACCTCCGTCCCATTTTATGTGTCTTAGTTTGACTTGACACGATTATTAAAAAAGTAGTTGAAAAAGTAAAAGTTGTGGTTGAGGTTTGAGTATAATAAAGTGAAATGGTGTGAGCCACATATTTCCTTCCAAAAAAGAAAAGGAGACACTTATTTTGAGACAACCCAATAAGAAAAGTAGGACAGGTAAAATGGGACGGAGGGAGTATTATTAAACCTTCGGCTAGAGCCTAGAGTGATACTAATGTTGAAATTATATTTTATATGGCTTTTCGCTTTTTCTAATTCTTAAATCGTAATACTATTATAGGCGGTTGCAGGTTTTAGATCGTTAATTTTAACCTTAACACAAATAACCAAATTCAATAACACTTTAACACACAGATAATACAATACTTTAGTCAAACTACCCTATTCTAATTTTGCGATTGTATTTCAAAATCGGAAGTATGCGTTCCGTATTATGTTAGGGGCATCAGTTAGTGTATGGCTGTTAACGAACCGAGCTTTTATCGAACTATTCGAGCTCGAACTCGGTTTCGAACCTAACGAGCCGAGCTTAACGAGCTTTCGAACTCGAACCCGAGCTGAGTTTTAAGTTCGAAAAGTTAATCGAGCCGAGCTCGAACATAGTAGTATTCGGCTCGGTTCGAACTCGAGCCTATCGAACATCCTAAAATTTAAATATAATTTATATATATTTCAAAATTTAAATATATTTAGTATCAATTTATGAATTTAAATATGATTATTAACGAACCGAATACTTGTCGAATCATTCGAGCACGAGCCTATTAACGAGCATCGCCTAAAATTTTAAATCCAGACATATTTATCGAACTTATCGAGCGCTCGGTTCGAACATCGAACATCTATCGAGTCGAACACGAGCCTCATTTGTAAAGCTCGCCGAGCTTCGAGCTCGAACACGAACACCCCTAATTCCTTAACGAGCCGAATTCGAGCTTTGGGTGTTCGGGCTCGGCTCGGCTCGTTAACACCCCTGAGTTAGTGGGTTATCTTATTTTATTTGGCTTTACTAGAGTTGGGGGCATTTAACTTTTTTTTTATTGGGGGGCATTAATATAGGGTGAATTTTTTCCTATTCAGAGATAATTGGAAGTTTACGGGGGGCAGCTGCCCCCCATACCTAGGCTTTGCATCCGACCCTGCGGTTGGACCAGCCCGGACCGGACCGCCACTATGTGGTACCAGTCCGGCCCGATTGATCGGGACCGGGAATGGTCCTTGGGCCCAGACGGGGGGGGGGGGGGGGGGGGGGGGGGTAACGGACTCTACCCACTTGGAACCGGCCCGGACGGTCTGGTCCAAAAATGTGTTTTTTTTAATGGATTGAGTGTTAGGCGGGTTGGGCTGGGTGGTTTGGGAGTGTTTGGGGGTGGGTAGGAATAAATAAGGAAAACAAGATTAAAAAAATACGAGTATATAAGACCCGACCCAGGCCCGGCCCGTTCCCGGAACTGTACCTACCTGGGCTGGTACCGGGCCTCCAATTCCCAGCCCCAGTTCCGCACTCCCGCCCAAGACACGACCCGGACCCAGTCCCGATCCGGGCCCGATCTAACCTTACCTATGTTCACCACAATGCATCCAATAGCCTTTGCAGAGTTGTGGCAAAGGGTATGATTCTCGTTTCTTGCGTCGCTTGGGGAGATGAGAGGAATAAGACTTTTGCTGAGTGTGGAGAAGATAAACATGAAAAGGCGATGTTTATCTTTTGTTTGGTGAGCAATTAGCGAACGCTTAAAAATAAAAAAGACACATTGATAAAGATATGAGATGAGTGAAAATTGGGAAGATAACACGTAGCTTTAGTCTCATAGAAAATAATTACTCCGTTTTTAATGTACCATAGACGCTCACACGGGAAGGGCTAGTGTATTATAGGCTTATAGCCTAGCCCCTTAGAATTGAATGGGGTGTTTGGCAATTGAGCGTTGGCGATTAGCTCATTGTGTTGCCTGATTTATAATAGCGGATTCTGTTAGCTGTTTTGATTGGCTAACAATATTAGCGGTTCGTAAAATGATGTTTAGTTAAATGACCATTTACAATCAACTGATAAAAAAAAAAGACTATCACGGAATCAAATAATTTTTAGCTTCAATAATAATAATTTTAATATTGTCGTTGTTATTATAATAATTATTAATTTTATTATTATTATTATTATTATTAATTTTATTATTATTATTATTATTTATTATTATTATCATCATTATTATTATTGATGTTATTATTTTGAGATAAAAAAGGTACATACGGAATAGTATATTCTACTCCGTAATATATAATGCACAAAACTTGAACGTTTTCATATGATGACTTCATGAATTTAAAAAAGTTTGAAAAGAATATTTAATTTTATTAATCGCATGCTTAGCTTGCTTCCTACAGTGTTCTTTTTCCTCTTTGTAAAAAGTTGAAGGTAGTGGGAGTAGTTTTTCTCTTTGATGAGTAAGTAGAGTGAGAGCAGGTAGTAGATACGACGGGAAGTAAGCGGCGTGGATAGTAAGGGAAAATAAAAAACAGCCAAACCTAAATGACATTTTTATCAGCATTTTCAATTTTAGCTGTTTGGGACAAAAAACCAAATGAAAAGGCCAATTAACCAAACACATATATTAGCCATTTATCTGGTCAAATAGTGGTTAAATCAGCCAAAAAATGGCTGACAGGCCATTTACCAAACACCTTGAGAAATGAAGCTGGTTTTGAATTTGAAATACAAAAGACTTGGAACAAAATGGTTTAATCGGAAGTGATAAATAATACGGAGTACAATTACTATTAAAAAGAGTTTGAGGATCATTAATGATAAGTCTATTTAATCGGAAGTGATAAAAATCGGAAGTGATTTAACTTATGACTCTGTTCCCATTGCATTTATCAGCCTAAGGTTGACAAAGCCACTATTTTATTTCGGATGATAAGTATAATGCTCCGTACAACGTATCCTTTACCAAAAGAAAACCTTTATGTAATGCAAAATGGAATTTGAAGGTGTGCGACCTCCCTTTCGTGTTCTTCAGTGACCCTGAGTTGATGCCTGTTCTAGCTGGTATACTTGTTGCCTCCTGCTTTGGTAGTAATGAGCAGAATAAGGGTATCCATCTCCTTAATGTACTTTTTGAAAAAGTGGTGAATTGGAGTACATTTTGCTCAATGCATTCTCGGTTCCCCTGCCCAACGCCATCTATCATCACCCTCATCGATTTCCTTAATTCATTTGATCATTTCCTTCGATTTTTCTTCAAACTCAGCGCATCCTTTCCCCATTTCAATCCCCATTCACAAGCTAAAATACAACCTAAACGGCATCGATGCCTGATCCCCATCCCTCATTCATGTTGGAAATTTTAAGTGTATTTCAAATAAACCAAAACCTTTGTTTTTCTTTTCACGTTTTATTTTATTTCTTAATTAAATAATTTAATTGTCATTGAACTTTTCTATTAACCGTCTGGAATTTTTGCATCCGTTGAACAAGTACTCCGTATTATCTAAAGAGCTTAAATTACGTGCTTGACATTTACATGGCTGTCCTTATTTGTCTCCTTTATATTAGGATCACTAACTTCCCCACTTTTGAAGTATTTTACTATATATATGTATTTTCTTTCGAAGCTGTGAGATACGACATGTACTTTACCAACCTTATTAATACATTCTAATACTCTAAAACCACTGCTGGATTACATCTAATTTAATATATCCTCGTAGATTCTGTGTCCGGCAAAACTTGCCGAAGGGCCCGTTATATCTTGGGGGAAGGTTTCCGGTCACCAGAAATACTTTCTTTAGGACAGCGTCTAACGCGTCTCGGGCTGTTTTATTTTTTCTAACATTGTTTTGCAGGTTCCGCCGACGAATTTCTCCAACAATCTAAAGAAAGTATCTCGTCGGAAACTGCAGCCCCAAATTGCCGGAGAGAAACTGAGAAGTCAGTCGCCGGAGTGCCTCATAGCCGTCGAATGAGATGAGGATGGACGAAATTAAAAGTCGTCGCATACGTGTGCCGTTGCTTCGTGACTCTCTTTGTGGTTGCCGTGGGTTTGCCGCGGGCTTTCTGTTTGTTCTCCCAGCCAGCTAATTCTTCCAACAAATGTTCTCAGACGGCTTGGTGACATCCAGGGGCGGATGTAGTAAGGAAGTAGGGGGGCAGTTGCCCCCAATAAAATCCTACTAAACCCTTCTATATTTTTAGAAAATTTTAGAAAGCCTAATAGATGCCCCCAATTAAAGAATATGGCTGCCCCCAATAAGTCAGCTGCCCCAGCCCGAAGTTGGGTAATTTAGAAAAAGAATCTGCTCCACTAATCTATTTGGCTTTTGAAAGACCAAATCACTAGTTGACCAATCAATGAGAAAGAGAGTTAAATAGTGAAGACATAGCCACCACTTATCAAAGGTCAATTGGACAATTGAAGAAATCCTCCCAGGCCCCAATTCTTGAACTGGAAGTACTAATTGCAAGAGTATGTCATATGGCCAACTGAGTATATTTTATCACATTAGGTTTAATTTTTTTATTAATTTGATGTTGGTCTTCTTGAATATTTTGACTTTTGGGTACATTGTACTTGTGCAGTCCCCCATATGTTTTGTTTAATGTCGTATATTAAATTTGATAAATTAAAACTATAAACAAGCTAGTTATTAATTATTGTTGTGCGGAATTTAGGATGTTTTTAATTGGATATAAAATGATCCGGTAAATGTATGGTTCATGTGTATTTAATGAAGTGCGACTGTTGATAAGTTTCTTATTTTCAGAAAAATCAACCTTATCATACAATTTTTTTTATTAAACATGTATGTTATGATTTCGCATGTCGGATTGTGTAATACAAAATAAGGTGAGAATTAGTTTTTTGGTTGAAAATACTAATGTGGACCATCTTACCTATTTTTTTGGAAATGACTTTTCTTTATTTTACTAATAAAATACATTGTTCTAAAACTCGCTAGGCGCTAGTCCGGTGTTTGAGGGGCGACTAGGACGATTTTTTGTAGTCTTCTACGGTTAGGGCCGCCTAGCGCCTGGTCGCCGATTAATCGGTTCGACTTGGACGATTTTTAGAGCAGTGAGAAAATATATTTTCAACAATGATTTTTTCTATAATTATTTATATTCAGAAGTTTTAGTTAGAATTTCCTCATATTCAATCTTAATCATAATGTCCATAGATTCTTGAAAGAGGTAATGATTAGGGAAAAAAATTACAATTTATTTCAATTGATAACTTATTGAGATGGTTAACACTATTACGAAATGTCATGTAGATACTTAAAATTCAAAATCTAAATAACACTGTATATGTTATTTTAGATTCTTAAACATATTGTAGTGGATCTTTTACAAAAGATATAAACTTGGCTGAGACAATGTGATATGTTTTGTTAAACTTTTGTCATCGTAATAATAATACGATAACAATTTATCAATTTTTTTTAAAAACTATCAAATTTTAATCTTCTTAAGTGTCTTTTAATTAATCTGCCCCCAATAACAATAAATCCTAGATCCGTCACAGGTGACATCCAAATGGCAAAATATGATACCTCTGTTAATTTTACTAGCTATACCTGTAGTGTTTTATATTATCCTGGCGTGATAAAATCTTGGTGCATGTATGTGTCATGTGGATTCTGGGATATTATTTTAACCTTATTTTAATCCCACTTTGAAAATTACAAGTCATTTTTTGGTGATAAAAAGACAATTGTGAGAAACAACAATCCACTAAAATCAAATTTACAATTGATTAATAGTGATGATATTTTGTTGCGGTTGTTTCTCAAAGTTGTAGAATTAACGATGTGAATGAATGGATGATAGACTCTGGGGCTACCAAGCACATTTGTAAAAACATAAGTGCTTTAACCTCCTATATATAGTATCACTATTATAGGAGATGAAACCTTGTGTACCTATGGACCAGGGGCGGCCCTGTACATTTGAAGGCCTAGGGGCGAACAATATAAAATGGGCCTAATTCTAAAAAAATGTAAATCACGTTTCTATCTAAACTAGAATGAAAAATAATAATATTCGAATACTTTTATAATAAAGAAAATACTTGAATTCGTTAAATTAAACATAGTCGAATCATGTTTTCATGTTTCTAGTGTAGTACGCATTTGAAAAATGTCTACCCTTAGCATCAAGAGGATAATCGAGTTGCAAATCTCTTATTCTCTTATAGGGCCTTTTTCAATTACAATGTCTATGGTTTTGGCATCTAAATTCTTCCAATCAGCAGGGTCATAAATATCCAAAACCAAAGGACCAACAATTGGAGTTACTACATTTGATATATCCGAATCATTTTTCGGTTGCTCACCACCAATGTTATCAACTCCTAAAAAATTCTCACTTCGCATGATTTGATCATTATGAATTGTTTCGCTTTCGTTAGCTGAATCATTCTTCTCCTCTAAATTCTTATCTTCAGAAGGACCTTCAGATTTTTTCTTCTTCGTAAAAACAAACTTTTCAATTGCACCTTTTTGACTTAGGGCAGCATTTTCTAATCTTCTTTTCCTCGCTAGTTTATCCCATCCACATTCAACCATTTTTATCAAACCTTGAAATTAGTTAAGTTTATAAATTTAATTATAATTGAAAACTATTACAGTATTACCTAACAAAAATGAACAAATAATAACACAACACTCTTACACAAATGACTCATTAGGTATAATTAGGTGATTAAAATCTAACAAAGCATCCAATTATTTATCAACTATTCGTCTATTCATAATCATTAATCAATTAATAATTTATAAATTATAAACATAATTTAATTACTTTTTCAATTAATCACACAATTACACAAATACAAAATAACACAATCAATCAATCATCATTCATATATGTTCGTTCTACTCAGAAATCAAGTTTGGGCAGCGTATGGCGTACCTGATGTGCTGCTAAGTGCTAACCCAGTAACCCGCTGGCTGTTGTGGTCTTTTGGTCTTGTGGACGCCGAACAGGGGGCAGGGGCAGTCTAGCGTCGCTGAAGGCCTGAAGCCTGACCCGCCGAACGGCCGAAGCCGTCAAGCCGAAGGCCGGAGTGCGTCGACCGTCGTCCGTAGTGGACTAAATCACTCGTGTGTCGGTGCGTGATTGCGTGTCTGCCCGTCTGCGTGACGCGTGAGTTTCAGATGAGGCTTGGGAGTTGGGATGAAAACGGGAAAGCAAGTTCGTAACCAGGGGCTGCGCATTAGTTCATTAGGTACTCCGCTTTTTTTTCAGTTTGGGCCTTTCTCTTTTTTGGGCTGCTTATACTATAAAAAATTATTAATTTTGGGTTAAAACTCAGCCTACTCAAACATACTATAAAGAAATAATCTTGGGCCTAAATTTTTTTCATTTTTTTTGGGCCTAGGGCCACCGCCCCACCTCCCCCCCCCCCCAGGGCCGCCCCTGCTATGGACTCAAAACCTCTAAGGTGCATGGTAAATAAAAGTTATTCTTAAACTCACATCGGGATAAACTTTATCACTAAATAATGTACGTGCTCTCTGGGCCTGAGATTCGGACTAATTAATTTAGTTTCCGTTTCTCTCTTGGAAAAAGTTGGGGTTAAAATATGATTGTTTTGTGGAGAATGAATGGTTGTTATGTGTTTAGTGTTTCATTATTATTGCATGATAATGATCCCTGTTTTTTGTTTGATTTGCATGCATGATAGTGTTTCGTTGAAATGTTTAAATTACCTGTGTTACTATTGTCAATTGCTACTAGCTGTTTGAATCCATCATTTAATCATGATGTAATATTTCGTTTTGTTTTGCAAATTATGTGCGTGGAGGTGCACTTTTGAATTTTGTTGTTGCAAATTAAAAATTGAATTACTTAATAAGTTATTGATCTAAATAGGACTAAAATAGATGATTAATGCAAGAATAGGACTACAAGTTTTTTTATTCCCAAAATAGGACTGTTTTCTATTTTATTCCCACTCTACCCTTTTTTTCTCACGCACAACTCATACACACGCACCGAAAAATTTTCCCTTAGCTTCTCTCTCCTCTCTCCTTTCTTCTCTCCCCCTCTCTTTTCTCTTCACGCACCAAATTAGATCTGGGAACAAGCTCTTTCAAGCAATAGATCTGGCTCCAACCTAACTTCATCTTCCAGCTCTCACATATCTCTGGATTTTCAATACAATTAAATTCCTCCATCTCCGACCGATTTTAAAAGTATCAACGGTGGTTTTTTCCTGGAGCTCCGGCGGGCGGCGGCGGCGAGCAGCGGCGAACTCATAGGTAAGATTTGAATTCCTCCTCCTCTTCTTCTCCTTCCTCCTCCTCATCCTCTTCTTCTCCTCTTTCTTCTTCTTATTTTTCTCAACCTTCTTCTTCTTCATTGTTCTGCTTCTCCTCAGATTTTTTATTTGTCGAATTTATTTTTGAAAATGAAAATTTATGTTTGATATTTATTTTTTCTTTTTATTTTTGAAAATGAAAATAATATCATTACTATTATTTTCCCAAAAATACCATCTATTGGAACTTAATTTCAGAATAATATTAGTACCTTTATAATATTATTCCTTTGAATATGAAAAAATCACTTTAAGAATGAATGTCATTTTTATGACATTAATGTCATTTTTATGGCATTAATGTCATTTTTTTCAATCTGAATATGCCATTTATTTCTATCAAGATGGCAATAAAGACAATATGATAACACTTCAACTGCAAGATGGCACTTACCTTTTTAATATTAGTCCTCTAAATGTGAAAATATCACTTCGAAAATGAATGCTATTTTTATGGAACCAAAGACACAAAGATGTCAATAATACTCTTATGAAAGACATTAATGCCATTTTTCAAACTGAAAATGTCATCTTATTTCTTTCAGGATGGCAATAATATCATTAAGATGACAATACAATTGCAAGATGTCATTTGTATGACAATATTAACAAAACACAAATCAGATCTCAGATCTGGTGGCGGACGATGGTGAAGCGGCTGGCGGCAACGTCAGTGGAGGCGGCCATCCGTGACACCGGTGGAGGGGGGGCGGCGACGCCGGTGGAGGCGTCCAGCAGTGATTCCAGCAGACAGGGGCGGAGCCAGGATATGACCGAAGGGGGGGCGGGGTGAAATAAAAAAGAATACGGAGTAGGATTTAAAATATAAATAAAATATACATAGTACATTAAATGATGTATTGGTATTCATCTAAAGTATTCAAAAGTACATGATTAAACGCCATGTGAGATAAAATTTAGAACGTTACATCTCTCTTGCATGTCATGAAATCACCGATAAAAAAATCTATGATAGACATTTTGACGATTTTGTGGCATGAGATAATAAATACTCGCAAATGTCTAAAAAAAGGTAAACAACTTAACTAAGTATACTGGACCAAACTTGCTAGTCAATAATGAATTAGTAATATACTTGGGAATCTATTTTCAATTTTAAATAATTAGTAAAAGGAAAAAAGTGTAATTCTTTACCTCTATTCTAATAGGTTTTGTGGATGCATCTAGTGTCCACGGTCCACCAGGGAATTTTTTTAATTAACATACTTGATATTTGGGCTTTAAATTTGCTTCCATATTAAAGTGGGGCTTTAGAACTAAGTAATACTTTACCTCTATTCTAATATAATAGTCCTAGGCTCCTAGCAAATACTAGTAAAAGATTTGAGGTAGGGGGCAAAGAATATGCATAACAATACTACTAACTAAAAACATTAAAGTTGGGGGGGGCAATGGCCCCCTTGCTAG